ATACAACACAAAAATAAATATATTCAGAAAAAAATTAACAAAAAAATTTATACATAAATTATTCATATGTTAAATTGTGAATTTAATATATTAAATCGTGAATAAAATTTACATTATTTCAAAAGCAAATAAATAAATTATAAAATAATCACAAGTTAATATCAATTATTTCACAGCTTAATAAAGATGTGTTAATAAAGTCATACATTAATAACCTAAATATTACATTCACAATCTAATATAACCATTTATTTCACTGGTTTTGAAGTAAATGCAAAACTATTATTAAAAGTAATGTATTCTTAGGTACTTATATAGTACAAAAAATAAATATATTCAGAAGAAAATTAAGAAAATATACATAGATCATTCATATTTTAAATTGTGAATTTAATATATTAAGCCGTGAACAAAATTTACATTATTTCAAAAGCAAACAAAAAAAATTATAAAATAATCACCGCTTAATGTCAATTCATTCACAACTTAATACAATCAATTCATAATTTAATACACAAAATTCACTACTTAATATAGTCAATTCATAGTCTAAGAAGAAAATTCACAATTTAATGCAGTCAATTTACAGTTTAAAATATAGAAATCACAGTTTGGTACAAAAAATTCAAAGTGTAATACACAAAAAGTATGCATCCACAACCATATTTTCAGCTTAACACTCTTTATATAGTCGATTCAAAGTTTATACACAAAATTCATAGCTTAATACAAGTAACTTCATAGTTTCATACACATAATTCACAGTTTAATCTAGTCAATTTACAATTCAAACAGAAAACTCGGAACATAGTGCAGTCAATTCGTAGTTTAAAGTGAAAATTTAAAGCATAATGCAATCAATTCACAGTTTAAAAGACAAAAATCACAGCTTAGTACACTAAATTCACATTTTAATACACAAAATAGTATTCACATCCATATTATCAACATAAAATACTTATTACAATTAGTACACAATTTAAACAATTTAATATAGAAAACTCACAAACTAGTATAATAAATTCAAAGTTTAATTCAAAAGAAAAATATACATTCACAATTTTATAGCAGTTAAAACTAAGATTAAAAATATTATACGCCAAATGAGAGATTAAAACATCAAATTCACACTTTAACAAAAAAAACAAACAAAAAAAATATATCATAGAGATATACAATAGATGCAAGTAGAAATACAAGTAGAAAACAAATACTTACGTATTCACAGCTTAAAATTAAAATTTCTAATTAAAGAAATTTTAATTGAAAATAAAGTAAAAAAAAAACAAGAATTGATGTATTGGGAAGAGGGTTTCTCATCTTTTTCTTTACACTTTACAACCTTATCAAGGAGAAATTGAATTGATATTCTATATTTCAGTTTTCTGAAGTCTGCACAGACTAAGAAGCAAAGTTGTTTAAGAGATGTAAAATAATGTCTCGGATGCTTTTTTTATTTGTTTTTCATTTTTTACAGATCTTGTCTTATATTTTTCTAAAGTATAAATTCACAGCCTTATTAAGAAAAGTAAACAAATAAATAAGAGATTTAAACATTAAATTCACAACTTAATAGAAGAGAAAACAATCAAAGCAAAAGTCAACATACCTGATGCATATATATGGTGGTGTTTTACAGGAGATGAGAGAGAGAAAGAGAGAGAGATAGAGAGAGAGAGAGAGAGAAAGAGAGAGAGAGAGCGAGAGAGAGATGAAGACGATTTGGTGGTGTTTCACCGGAGTGTAAGACAGTAGCGACGGTGGTGGCAGTTGGTGGCACTCTATGATCTGGTCTGGTAATATCATCAGAGCTCGTAAATCTGGAGGTGTAAATCAAAGATCTAAAGTCAAAATTTATTAATTGTCACCAGAAATCATAGGTCTGGACCATACCAGTTCAGATCTAAGAGCCTCGTTGATGGAGTTGCATGTCTAGGATTTCGCCTAAGGTTTTGGAACGGGAGGTAGTGGAAGGAACACTGTCCAGGTGCTTCATTGAAAAAAGTGATGTCGCCGGAGAAGGCAACCAAGGAGACAAGTGGTGATGGTGGGCCTACAGTGGTTGGTTTCAGTTCCCGGAGGCATCAATCGTTGTTTTTAGTGCTGTTGTTTTCAAGATCTAGATATGATTCGTGGTGGCCATTTCGAGATCACCATCTGATGTAGATTCAGTGAGATTTCTTGTAGATCTGATGAAATGTGATGTAAATCAAGTCAGATCTAATGCAGATTTGGTGGTTCATCGGAGATCGGAGATGACGGTAGTAGAAGTGAATGGAGGAGACGGTAGCCGAAGTGAACAGAGGAGGTGGTGGAAAGTCGTTGGAGTAATCTTGTTTGTCGGTGGTAGGGGCGGCGATGGATAGAGTCACCAGAGGAAGGAAGAAGGAAAGAAGAAGAGAAATATGAAAAGTGTTTTTCAAGTATGGTGAAATAACATATCTGATCAAACAATGTCCATTTTCATTTTGACAACTTATAAAAAATAAAACAAAAAATCAAAACAAATATGAAAATACATTAGTGACCTAAATATAAGTGATTCTTATCTTAATGTAAACTTACGTAAGTAATAGATTCTTTACCGTTGACTTTAAAAATATATTTTATGTGGAAAAATTCGATGGAAAGAATATATCTAATTTGAAAAATATATCTTATCTTACTGTAAACTTACGTAAAAAATAGATTCTTCACTGTTGATTTAAAAAAAAAAAAAATTTATGTAGAGAAATTCGACCAAAAGATAATATCTAATTTAAAAAATATATCATATGTAATCTTACATAAGTAATAGATTCTTTACTGTTGATTTTAAAAAATATATTTTATATGAAAAAACTCAGACGAAAGAATATACTTTATTATATCTATGCTAAAAACCAAAGTCAGTAGCCTCGACTTTGGTTTTCAAACCCCTTAACTATTTCACTTTTTATTTTTTTATTCCTTTAATATATATATATATATATATATATATATATATATATATATATATATATATAGGGTAAAGTGAATATACCTAACAACCTTATATAAACTTAGGTACCTAACCACATCATACTACGTAATTTTGTATTATATTTGCATTGTAATCACCCAAAGTTCTTAAAATTCAACCTCATAACTTAATTGCTTCCAAAATCTTTGGACTTTCACCGTTATCTTCCTTCAAATGACGTCTTTCTATCGGAGACCCCCTGGTGGGCTTCATATACTACCGTTACAAATCAAATGATGTAGGAAGGATATAATGGTGAATGTCTGAAAATCTTGGAAGTAAATCAAGTTAAGGGTTGAAGTTTAAGAACCTTATACGATTGCAATGGAAATATAATGCAAAACAATGTAGTATAATATGGTTAGGTACCTAAGCTTATATAAGGTTGTTAGGTATATTCACTTTACCCATATATATATATATATATATATATATATATATATATATATATATATATATATATATATATATATATATATATATATATATATATATATATATATATATATATATATATATATATATATACACACACACTAATTTCAAACTACATGATCAAAAAGACTTCTTTCCTATTGAACCAAAAAAAATTATTTTATTTTTATTTTCTTTAACATGTTATTCACTGCTTTGCCTCCCATTCTTCGAATTAGATACGAACAACATGAGCGCTCATCACCGCATCACCATTTATTGATTTCCATATGTGGTTTCGTACCTTTGTTTCTTCTTCATCTCAGTTCCGCTCATCACCACCATTGTAACCAATCAAAATGAGATTAGTATGCTCTGCACCACTTCATTCATTGGAAGTATACGAAACCCACTTCATTTACTTTAGTTTTTATCTTTTACTTTTCAAAATAACGTTTTCATCCTTATGTTTTATAAAATATTGATTTTACCCTTTTACCTTTAAAACTTTTATAATATCTTTTTCATCCATTTTATTTTCTAAAACTTTTTTTTTAACTTCCGTAATATATATAATTTGACTTTTTATATAAACTGACACTTTCTGTTCTTCTACTTTGTAAAATTATATTTTTCATCCGCTACTTTTTAAAATATACCGTTTACCACCTCAACTTTGAAATTTCTAAAATATCACTTTCATAAATTAGATGTTTTCAACATTATATGTATCTCAACATTTTGATGTTGTCAACATTTCGATGTAAATTAGATGTTGTCAACATTTCGACATAAATTTAAAATTTTCCTTCATTAAACAAATTACTTTGTTTTTTATATATGTATCGATATAAATTCGAATTGGTTTAAGTTTCCATGTATTTTTTTGCATCTATTATAAATAGAAAAGTGTGTGGCCCATATTTTTACTTTTCCACCATTCCATTTTTATTATTTTTCCAATTTGATTGCCCCTCAACTATCTATCTACCTACATTTTTCACCCTTATTTTTAAAAATGATGTTTTCTCATTCTTTGCTTTATAAAACATCCTATTTACCTTTTTAATTTTAAAACTTCTGAAAAATCATTTTCACCCGTTTATTTTCCACTCTTTGTTTTTCTATATATCGTTTTTACGTTTTACCTTTGAACTTTCTACAATGCCTATTTTATCCTCTCATTATTTAAACTTTCGTGTTTAACTACATCTTATAATTGTTGGTACCCCGAAATTGCAACTGAATTTTTGAATGTATGAAAGTTCATAACTTTTTCTACATAAATGTAGTATCGAAACACGTGTATACTCAAACCAAATGAAAATAGAAACAACCTTTTCGTCTAGTTTTAACAATTTATAATGTATGAATGTATATAACTTTTCCTACATAACATGGTGTATATAGGATACATTCAAACGAAATAAAAATAGAAACAACATGTTCAACAAATAACAACAAACTTTTAATGAAATAAAAATACTCTTTTCTTCATATTTTTGAGCATTAAAGAAAAATTTATTAAACTGGAATTCAGACAATAGCAGACACTTTAAATAAAAAGATGTAAGCTTTAACTATATTATGACAAAGTTATTTTGGTGACACCTAGTGACAACCCAGAATCCTTCAACTTGGTTTCAGTGATCGAATCAATCCGCTCTCTCATCTCCTCTGTCAAATAATTTTTCCAATCTCCCACCTTCCCTTTTCTGAAAAAATCCCGATTCTCCACCATCAACTGCGTGTTAAACTTCTGAACACCATCCTTGTTCACCTCAAGATTACTCAAATTCTCAAAGCTACACAGCTTCACAATCTCTTCCACCACCCCTCCCTCCTCCTCCGCCGCCGTAAAAGGCATTCCCATGAACTCCGCCAACTTCTTCAGCTCCACAGATGGTTCCTTCTTCATATCCTCATACTTCAAGAACAAGATCTTTTCAGGTGATTCCTGGCTTGCTTTCCAGTACCCCAACACATGCTCCCAAAAAGGTCCGTATTCGGAGACCCCGTTGCAGAAAAGCTCGTAAGCTTCATTGAACAAAAGAGGGGTGAGTTCTTTCGACCTAACTTTGTTCATGAAGTGCCACTTGGAAATGAGTGCGTCTTTCGGTTCCCTACACACGTACACAAACTTGCAAGTCGACCGGGGTGCTGTCATGGAGGTCGGTAACAAGTCGTGAGCAAAGTGTGTGGCGAACAGTCGAGGAGAAGGGAGATGATCGAACTTAGTTACCGGAAAGTCAACAAGAATTTGGGTGTCAAGAGAAGGAAAAGCACCATGGGGTCCGGTGCGATGAAGAGGATGGTCGGAAAGATTGTAACGGTGGCGGTTGGCGGTGGCAAACATGAGAGCTCTAAGCCAGGTGGTTCCACATTTCATGAAAGCAGCCAGGAAGATGTCTGTGGGTTGGGGATGGAAGTATTCGTGGATCGCTAATAAGCCTTTGAAAACTGTGGGACTCAACCAAAAACCTTTATGCAGAAAGATGTTTGGGCTCCTCCAACCTTTTGCTTTGGGGAGAGTTGCAAGAAGCCTGTCGAGCTTTTCATCGAGATTGTTGTAGACTTGTTGTTCTTCTTCGTCTACTGGGATTTGGTTTTCACCATTAACGGCTGAGGGGTGGAAGCTCATATTATGGTCGGGAAATGTCGATATGGCTTCAGATCGGATCTTTTAGAGAATCGAGAGCTGTCAAATAGATAGATATATAGATGCAGGAGAAACTTGAAATTTGAACCTTTTTTAATGGTGTGTTATTCACGTTTCCTGTCTCCCTATCTCTCTATAACGATAAAAGAGATAATACACTAGTTTGTGATGTATATTAAATATTTTAATTAATATTTTAATATTTTTTTATTTTAAATTTATTACATCTTCTTATTAATGTGATCTTCTTATTAATGTGATGTTATTTATCAATATATTTATTTTATAATTTAATTTTTAAATTTAAATTTTATATTATTATTTTCATTAATTCATAAATAAAAAATATTTAATATATATTAAAAATTAATTTTATATATTTATTTGAATTAACGATTATAATATCACATAACTAATAAAAATATTTTTTAAATTAATAATTTATTTAAAATAACTGATTAATAATTTTAAATTTTACTATAAAAATTTAATTAATTTTATAACGTTTCTTTCCACGAATTATAAATTAATAGTTAATAAAATACCCGACCTCTCATGGTGAAAGTTAGGTGTACCCCAACGGTGGGCTGAAAGATGTGGCCCAATCTCGAATAAGCAAAATATAAACAAATATAATAACATTGAAACGCAGAAAGTGTTTGTTAGATATTTTTGCCTATAAAACTTTGATTACCACATATATTTTTGAGTATTAAAATTTAATACTACATAAAAAATTGATATTACATATTTTTTTTATTATTAAAATTTATTGTCAGCATATATGAATGAGGTGTGATAAAGTTTTTATCTATCAATTTTTTTTTTTAATTTAAATATATATAAAATTTACTATTATATATAACAATAATTCTTATGGTTCTAGGAATTGTATAGATTTTGCAGTTTAAAATTTAATCAAGTATTGTGTAGCTTGGCAATTTTGATCCCTACTATTCCCTCCAACCCTTATGTGGTCGAATATAGTGTTTTTCTTTTGTTTATAATGAAAATCATGGAGAGATGTTGCCACGCATTCCTCCTTATTAGACTAGTATTATGTTATAATTAAAGGGTTAAGTGTGTAACATTATATCATATATATATATATATATATATATATATATATATATATATATATATATATATATATATATATATATATATATATATATACCTCATGTACATCTCATTATTAAGTGTAATCACAATACCATTATCAATTTTTTTGTTTGTTATGGTATTAGAGTGGGTTACCTTAATCACGTCGTCACCTCTCTTCTACAACCTGTAAGTCGACACACAACTTCTTTCTTTGTTTCTCAATTTCAATTACAACCAACCATCACAATCATGGCTTTCAAAACCTTCTTTACAACCGATAAAACAACACACAATTCACACAATTTCGACTTTACCGTGTCACCTATAAACTATGGGTATTAGAAGGCTATGGTTCAACCCTTCCTTGTTACGAATAATCTGTTTGGCTACAATGATGGTATACTCCCCAGTTCAGACAAAACCCTACCACCGACATCCGTAGATAAAGATGCGACTGTTGCTCCTACTCCAAACCCTAGTTACTCAACATGGGTTTCTAACTATGTACACACCAAGATGCTACTTCTATTCATTATCTATAGGGCTGCCTTTCAACATGTGCAAGGAACAACATCCCGAGACGAACTACTCTATGGAGCGTGCTTATGCACCACTCACCACTTCCAAAGAATACACTCTAAAAATACAATTGCTTTAACTAGAGATGAAAGGTGATGAATCTTCTACAACCTATCTCACTCGGGTACAAGAGTATTCGACTGATCTTGCCAACATTGGGAAACCAATGGATGAAACCAATCTTTTCATGCTTGTGATATCTGGATTACAAGAGGAGTATACCGACTTTAAATCCACCTTGCTTGGTAGGGAATCACCTATTGCATTTACTGATCTTCATGGCTTGCTTGTCGATCATGAACACTTAATCAGGAAGAATACACCACCTATAGCAGCACCGACCTAAGCTTTTGTGGTTGTTACTTCACACTATAACCCCACCATTGCTGCCTTTATACAACCTGACACGCTCCAGGCACTTCAATAACTTGTTTCCCAGTTAGGTTACTAATTATAACTGAACTCGCCACATGCTTTCTTCTCGAACCGATTAGGTAACAACAATTCTAATCGACCACGTGGAAATTATAATAATAATAGGGACGTAGGGGATGTGGGGGATACAACCTCCCTCAAGGTGATCAATCTCAAAGTAGAAACTAGAATCAGTTTTGTTGGGCCTCTAATGAAAACACAGTTTAGGGCACCTGCAATAGGTGCGATATTGGACATGTTCCATGGATTGTCCCAAAAATTCATAATAAAATTTTCATTTTTAAAAATAGTAAACCATACAAAAGAGTTGTTCTAAAACCGATCAAGGTGAATATATTATTTAAACATCAGAGTAAATATTAAAAATTGCTAATGTGGAAAATTTGGTGGATACGATGAAGTCACGCCGGGCCCTTTCCTTTTGTACCGAAAATACCTGGAACGATAAACATATATTGTAAGCACAAAGCTTAATGTGTTCCCCAAAGTATCACATACCATAACATACAAGTTCCATGGGCTACCTGTTGGAATAGTGTCTAAGGCTACAACTATATTGGGCAAGTATTTGACCCGATTGTGCATGGTCCTTTTGGGTTGCCTTCACCATAGCAACTTGATAGGGTGATTTATTGTGAGAGAATAAATATTATTAATATATTATGAGAATAATATAAGGAATAATAATATTATTATTTGATTAATATAAGTTATAAATTAATTAGGAATTAATTTGGTGATTTAAAGAGATTAATTAAATAAGACGGTATAAACTGTCAATTGTTTGATAGTTACACTTTGGGCTATATATCCTTTAAGGATAAGGGGTGGAAGATTTCTAGGGCTAAGGATAGCCATAAAATCGTCCAAGGGTTATCATGGAAAGGATTGGGATTGCTTAGGGCTTAAGTTATCCAATTAGGGTTTAAGGGTGAAACCCTAGGAGCCTTACAAGTATAAAGAGACCTCTTGGGGTGGGGAAATCGGCACCTGTGTCTTTGGAAGAGCCCTGGCCGATTTTTGTCCTCTATCCTCTTTCTCAAATCATCCTCCTTGCTAGTTGGTGTTTGTAAGCCATTAGAGGAGTGACATTTGTGACTCTAGAGCTCCAAGAACAAGAAGATCAAACAAGTGTTTCAAGGTAAGCTTCTAACTCTGATTTTGTATTGTTCTTATACTCTATTAGCCATTAGAAGTCTTGGATCCAATGCATGTTTAATTAGAGAAACCTAGATCCAAGCATTAGGGTTTGTATGTGCACATAGGAATGTTCATATGGCCAAAACCCATCAGTGGTATTAGAGCCTAGATTGGTTTCTATTAAATTGATGCAATGATTGTTTGTTTCTTGCTTGCAAAATTCGCATTTTGTGATTCTGAGTCATGGAATCGGCGAGTCCCATGGTGGACTCGGCGAGTTGGCCTGACTCGGCGAGTCCAGTTGGGCACTCGACGAGTCCGAGCGTCAGGAAGAGCAAAAATCGGGATTTTTTTGATATTTATCTTATGGAAACTTGCCTTTATCATATTAGATCAACCTAAATCCGATTTTTTGATATATATGACTATATGCTTGATCTAATTGAAGATGTTTATCAATTAATAAAATATTTAATTTCCTTATGTGATAATTATTAATTATTTTAATTAAATTGGTAAATTGTTTTGTAAGAAATCATAAATAAATCAAATATGGATAATTATGTGATTAATTGTTATTTGTTGTTTAATCCTCTATGTTTTGAAAAGTTTAAAAATTGCCCTCAAGATTTCTTTTTCTGTTTACCACCACGATTACATATAACATGTTTCTTCTTTATAATCTTGTTATCAAACCTTGACTGTATGCTCAGTCTAACATCAAAACCACCAATTTCAGCATACTCATAATACATTTTGATAGCCAACTTTAATGATTTGAAGATTAAACCGTTAAAAAGGAATAAGTTGAACAGGTACATCTGGCTTATAGATATGTTCTCCAATTATATCATCAAAATATTATGCATCATGTACTGAACTTGAAGATTCACCACCTAAAAGAATAATGCATGAATAAAACAATAATATATATATATATATATATATATATATATATATATATATATATATGAATACATAAAACTCATATAAATAAAACAAAAAACATTCATATATGAATACCTAAAATTCATGAGGATTCAAAATATATATAATAAAACATAACTTATTCATATATGAATAAAACGAAAAAAATAATAAATTCGAAATTACAATTAATACACGTTTATTCATAATATGAATAAGACAACAATTTATTCATTTTAACATATTCATATGTAAATAAAACATAACTAATTCATATATGAATAAAACAAAAAAAAATAATAAATTCGAAATTACAATTATCACACGTTTATTTATATATGAATAAGACAACAATTGATTCATATTAACATATTCATATGTAAATAAATGATAATCAATAAAATTAAAAACAACAAAATAATTCAATAACTGATACCTTCAAAAAATGAGTTCTCAACACCTTCTTCTTCACTCTCACTCATAGAAGAATACAAATCACCATCAATAACACTAGAATTTGACATAATACACCAAATGATCTATATAAATAAACAAAAACAATCTTAATATCGAATATATCTCACAAAAAAAGTCGTAAATAGGAAAACCTGGTTAATTTCAAATATATCTCACCTCAACATACAAAATATCTGAAAGAAACTTAAATCATATATGATCATATGATGTAATTAAGCAATCTCTCTCAGTATAGAACGTAAAAACTACAACGATATAACTGATGAAATAAATATCTCAAACTACTTAACAAAAATCAGGTGAAATAACTTCAATACATA